TTTTATATATAATTATACATAAATAATTTTCTTACATTTCTTCAAACTTAATTTTTTCTAAAACAAATAGTGCAAAAATTACTTTTATAATTATTTTTAATGTTTTCACATTACTCTATTATTATTTCTATTACACCAAAAAGTAATTTTATAAAAGAAAGAAGGATATATAAACATGTATGAACATATTTCATATATAATTATACATGTTTATGAATATTTATGCGTGTTTATGTATGTTTATATATTTTTTTTATATTGTATATTTATATATATTCATGCATGACAAATTTTTTATCGGGTCTTTCCAATCGCTACAGTGTTGCTATTCCTGCTATATAATAAAATATATAAAAAGAAGTAACGACTGATTTATATCATTTGTATTATAGGACTGGTGGAACAGCACGACTTACTACACATTCTTCCGCACGTGGAACGTGGTAGTACACGACTGGCTGTACACGTATATTTATAAGGATATGTACGAAATCGTGATACCATACAATCGGATGTTGTCAGCTACTACTGTGTTCTTCATCTCTGCCATCGTCCACGAGTACATACTCGCGTTTACCTTCGGTTTCTTCTATCCTGTAATATTTATCTTATTTATCACCATTGGTTTTCCCATGTTCTTCATCCGTAAGAATTTCAGCAACCTCTTTATGTGGTTGAGCTGGAGCCTTGGCACCGGTATTATTTTCAGCCTACACGCGATAGAGTTATATGCTCGGCAAAACTGTCTATCTCATCCCAATTACTACCTAGACCTATTCATACCGCGAAGCTGGAGCTGTCAGGAACAATTTAACACGTAAATTTTTTCCATTTGCATGGGCAATGAAATCAAAAGATTATTAAAAAATGGGACGATATTTCCGTTCTGCAGTCAGAGAATATTTTCAACTAATATTAATGTATAAGTTTGTATCAAATTGGAATATAGATTTGTTTGTTGACACAACTTGCAATAATAAGAGGATTAGTGATGGTTTACATCCAATTGTTAGTAAACAGTAATTTATTCATTGAAATTGCACAATTATAAATATAATAATTAGGTTTAAAATCATTTTTTAATAATAAAAGTAACTGCAACTTTTTTTCAAGCCATTCATAAGAAAATTTGAAGTAGATGAAAAAGTATTTTGTATCTTTACCGGAATCATTGGGTAAAATATAAATACATATACCTAGATACACGTATAGAAATACATTTTATAATCTAAATCTGTATCTGAAATACGTTCAAATTGGAGTATCTGTATCTGTATCTAGATACAAAACACTACAGTATCTAGACTGTTTTGCAGATACATTTTCGTGAATTTTTTGCCTTTAGTAGAAAATGTATATTCCTTTTAAAAATAATTTTTGATGTAACTATTTTTTAGAGAAAAGTACCCTATCATAAAATAAGCGCCTACGAGATAGTGGCGTTTCTGCTAAACTAACAAACGCTATCTATTAATTCCATGAATTTTTTGCTCTTAGATTGAAAACTATTTAATGGACAATTAATTATTAGATCATGCCTGTAGTCATTGTAAAAAAAGATTTTAGAATTTGGAGTCTTTTAAGTTTTGATGAGATAATCCTTTAAAACTTTAAATCTTGTTTATTACTTAATAAATAAAAATATTTGGCAAAAAAATCCTTTATATAATGATAGAGTAAGATCGTACTATTTAAAAAAATAGGATTGTTGAATTGTTATAATTACATAAGTTAGATTTGGTTATTGTAAAACTGTAAGGCGTGGAACTCGAAATATGAGATATCCAGGATATTTCTAATATAAAATAACCTATGTTACTATGCCACAATAAAAAATTGATGCTATAAATGTTATTGTACAATAATAAAAGGGACAATCAGAATGAACATTGAGTGTCTGTAGCAATGCTTAGTTCCAACTATTTGAAAACGAGTCCTGAGTAAAATGCATTGCATACTCATTTTGCGCGCACACTGAGTGTGTTTGTCTGTATTTTACAAACATTAAGTAAAGTTTCCTAATTGCAATACTGGTGTACTTTGCATTTTATTATCGATTTCTCAATCTCAAATTATGAGCACATTTTTATAGTTTGCGATTTGCTCACTTTTTATATTTCTTTAACTTAAAAAAAATATATAATTAAATTTGAAAAAAAAATAACTTAATTTAAAAAAAATTGAATTAAATTTTACATAACATTATCTTAAAGCTCTTATTAAATTCCCTTCAAAATGACCTATTATTTTTTTAAATTTTGCCCATAGATTTCTAACATTAACCAAAAATGAACTCGATATCTCGTAATAAGGATCTGGTCTCTTTATTTTGTTTACATTACTATTATAACAAAATAATTTAAAAGTATCTACTATAATATATGTCTGATCATGACAATATTTTTAAAGTATTCGAGTGTCTGTATCTGTATGCCTTAACAGAGTATTGAAGTATTGAGAATAATCTGAGATACTCTGGTGAATATTTTTTTCAGAATTTGTCATACAATTTTTCGCGCGCGCGCGCGCGTTCACGTATCGCATGGGATGGGATCGGTTAAATTAGATTATTAATATACTATTTTTTATTAATTGCAATTTTTTTAATGCAATTTTTATTAACACACACCGAGGTGATCACAAATATATAAATCGTTGCTTCTCAAATGAATACTTCGGTACTACATACAGACTATACAACGTTGCGGATTCTCAGTGACTCCCGGATATAATCTGCAAACCTGGCAAGGGTGTCTAGGCACTACCCTATTGCCGAGGATCCGCTATGTTACACACTCTATATATACGTATTTATCTCATTTTAAATGCAAAAATTTGTGAGAATTTCAAGCAACGTGAATTTATGCGGATTATGTTGAATTTTGGAAATACAGCTTTTTATATTATAGAATTAATTGATATCTAGGTTCCAGATCCGATATGTTACATTACGAAAATTAAAAGTTTCGATGCAAATATCGAATATCAAGTGTTACGATATTTCAAAATATTGATTATATAGAAACATCCCTAATCGGAACCGTATTTATTTCGTACTGTGAAATATGACATATATATTATCGCACGCATACACGCACGCACATATCCAAATAAGCAAACATTCTTTGAAATAAAGAAGCTCTCTTTACTTCCAAGTGCAAATTATCATATTAAACGTGTTTATTTTTTTGTGTTCTGCCCAAAATGGCCACTAAAAATATTTGAGCTTCTTAAGCAAAAGCTTGTGAATTACGCCACTATTGAGGGCAGCCTTCGTAGAGAGATTCAGCTAGTGGAAAGAGTCATATCCATGATCAATTTTATGAATAACGAAGACCAATTTGCGTTTGAAATAGTTAATGATGTATATACTGATATTTTTAAACATGATGAAGTCGAGCCAATTTATGAATAGGATAAAAGTTTATCTTCTAATGAAGTTTTTATACTACTCGAATATGCGCAGCGAGTCGTAGAAACATGCAAGGAGCATCTAAAGTGGTCTTTTAATACAATTAAAACTCGATTTCTTAAAATAAAACATTCTATGTATAAATAAATCTAAAAAATATATTGAACAGCATGGCACATATCGGGAAAAATAGCAATCCAACAAAGTATTGTTTAGAGCAGTTCATACAGACCCGTTGAGGGAATTCTTCACTATCGTTATTAAATACTAAAAATAATATTTAACTAAAAATACAAATACAGATGTTTCGACCTTCTATCCGGTCGTTTTCAATGTTACATATACAATCTACATTAAAACAATTACAATGACATACTAAAAATTCTGGAAAAGTTTAGCCCTTATAATATTAAAAACCTCGATCCTGAAGCACAACGTGTGCAATCCGAAAACCTTGATATGACCGCAAGAAGTTATAGGATCTTTTCTTAAATATGTTCATGGTCATTTCAGGTATGAATCTTCTCTTATTACAGCATATAAATTAACAATAAACATAATTTGCCATTGTATAAGGCTATTGTATAAGATCTCTTGTCAAAAGCTTATAAATATATATAAATTGTCCATGATAACGTGACTATGTATTGCTGTAAAGTAATAATAATTTAAACTAGTGAGAATTTAAGCAAATTAAAATGCTGCAAGATTTAGATTAATACTTGTGTTTCTACCAACGAAGATGATAATAATTATAGCGCAAAACAGTATATACAGCAAGCAGTATTAAGACCAGAACTCAAAAGGTGTAAATTGTGTCATGTTCTTCCGTGTTTCTTGACAACTTATTTTAAATTAATAAAGATACAAGTAAAGAAAAAATCGACAAATATGAGTGGTGAGGAAATTCGAAGGAGAGGAAAAAGATGACGGGAAATATTCAGGAAGGGGGAAGTGCTTCTATAACGGAAAAGTATATTTCTGGTAACGATTCTGTGATACTTTGTAAAATAAGTCCATTGTTTTGTCTCTTTATAAAAATCATCTCAGAAGTCAGTCTTTTGTTATAAGATGATTCGCTATCTTAATCTTATCTATTATAATTATCTATTATAAAATTCTGATATTGTTCCGATCAAAATTATAACTAAGTGAGGTCCATTAGATATGACACTTGGTGAGCTTGATTTTTTATTAATATCCGATGAGTGCTCTGCGATTCTTGTTTTTAATTGCCTTTTTGTCTGGCAATATATGATGCGTCACAATTATGGCATAAGACTTATAGACAACATCATGATGTGATGTCTCAAGAATATCTTTTCCAGTTGTGTATTTTATCAGAGTGTTCAGAATTGTAATTACAAGTTTTAAATTAACACTTTTGGCTATGTTGAAAAAAGATTCCGAGATGGTTCTTACAAAAGGTACAATTAAGAACTTATTAGACTCTTTCACTTGATTTTTGATGATCTTGCTATTGTTAGAGTGGAACTTCATTCTCATTTGAATTGAAGAAAATGTAAAAAGAAGAGAATATTCATTCTATAACAAAACTTGTATCATATCAGTAATATTCTTAAACTAGAATTTCGGGTGGGATAAAAAAAAATTTTGTCAAATAAACTAAAAATTATATATATATATTCATTTCTTTTATGACAACCGGATGTTGTGAATGAAAATTAAGGATATCTTTCAGAAAATGTAGGTTTTTTATAGATGTTAAATATAAATCTATGCTCGTCAACAATAAGGCTCACATCTAAAAAATTCAGGCTACTTTACCGATTTCAAGCGTAAATTGAAAGCATTCATAGAACAAGTTAAAAACTTCTAATATTCTATTTAAACTGTCCGGAAGAGTAGCGAGTAATATAATATATCATCTATATATCTAAAGTAAAATATTAAACGACGCAGCAAAAATTGAAACGCTTTTTTTTCCAAATCTTCCATAACTATATTTGCTATGATGACAATGGAGAGCCCATGGGAGAACTAAAAGCCTGTCTATAAAATCTCTTATTAAAAGAAAAATGGATGGATTTCAATATTAATTTAATAGCTACAAAAAATTCCTTTTTTGGAATTTTTATGTTCTTCGAAATATTCTCTCATCTCCTCTCAGTACCTTCAATTACTAATTCTGCTGGTACGTTGGTAAAAAGTGAAACAACATCTAAAAAGATCAACTGATGATAGTCAGCCTCAAAATAAATTCCATTTAGTTTGTAATTGGAAGCTATTTTCCACTTGGTTTATTGCTGTTTTTTATAATGAAATGTAAAAGAGAAAGTGAATACAGTGGGCTGTTAATCAAAGAGATAATAATTCTAAGAGGACCATTAGGTTTGTAAATTTTAGAAAGTTCATATGCCCTCGATACTATTCCGTCAGTGTTGCGTAACTTTTTATAAGTAAGTTCATCGATGTCATTCTTCTTCCATCTA